TAATTGTGTATTTTTTTCATTTTTAAACCAATTGAACTTCTCCCAATTCTCCATTAGACCATTACGTATTTTAAATCAAAATTGAGGATTTTCGATCTTGGGTTGTCATTGGTTCTCCTTATTCTCAATTTCTCATCCATTTTTAGTTTACTGAAGATTTTTCATTTTTCTTTTTGGTTGTACAAGTGAAGTCAGTGGGGTAATGATCCATTTTCATTGATTGCATATAATTTTAATATTATTTGAATCTGTGCATTGTCTCTCTATCTTCGATCAACCGTAAATGTATATGTATAAATTAATTGTAATATGTATATGTAATTAATTATTAGTTTATTATATTATTGTCTTATTGACTTATGATTTATGAATTTGCCTTTGATTTATAAGGGATTAGTGATCAGTTTACAATAGCTTTTGATTCTTTGATTGTGGGCAGTGGACTGTATTTGGTTTATAAATTATAACTCAGGAGTGATTCATGAATATAATACTACACATTGGTTTATTAATTATAATGTATGTATATATTATCATTCTTACAAATTTGTCTTTGCCTTTAGATCATTCACTATTTTTAATTGCTGATGTTGTTATTTTTCCCTACATGATCTATCACTCTATCTCATATGTTAAATATAATTATGGTCTATGCTATGTGTTGATACAATGCTTTAACAAAAAAAATCATATCTTTTAATCTTTCTTTCTTAAATTAATTTGAACCTATTTTTACACTCAAATTTTAGTTATTGTTTGCTGTTGAGTGAAATATCATAGCTCTTAAATATGATTTGGAACTCAAAAAAAGAAGGGAGAAAGAGTAGATGCATTAATTCGAAGTCGGCTGGAGTTATCTTTAAATGCTTTGATGGCAAGAAAAGAGGATGAAGGAACACTAAAAAATTTGGTGATTGAGGAGCAACAGAATCAAAATGACAACGATAATGTGGTTGAATTGAAAGAGACCGAGAAAATAATTGAACATATCAATGTGAATAAATCAAAGCAAAATGATGAAAATAATGTTCAACATGAATATTTAAATCAAGAAAATTGCTTTTCTCCGATCAACTATTTCATAGCAAAGATTGAATGGATCGACCATGTTATCCATTGAAAAAGAAATGGTTGAACAACTCAACCATCCAAAATTGATTAATATTTTTGCCTCTAAAAAATCGCAAGACGAGTTGTATTTAAACGATCTTTTAAAACATTTTCGTATTTTTATTTGATTGTAATATAAATATTTTGAATATTTCATTTATTCGTTGTTTTATTGTTGATTTTTAAGTTAACAAATTTAGTTCCCAAAACTCTTGTAAATGAAAAAAAAAAAAAAAATTGATTGCTTGTTACAATTTAGGAGCCCAAATTCTGAAGTTCGCATCACGCGTTGCAAAACACAAGTACAAACTAAAGAGGAGATTGTGGAGTTGATGGGAGATGCAACCATTTGTAAATATCTTTATTCTATCATCGGTGCCCTCATGCATAAATCATTTACAAAGAGAAAGCACGTGATCCAAATTGTAGAAAGGGTAAAAGGAGGCATACAAAAAAATTATAAAAATAAAGTATGAAACCATTTGTCAAATTAAAAATAATGAGCGGAGTGACAGCAACCTACAGTAAATCACGGTATTCTAGCACACGCAACGCCTCAATAGGCTTCAACAAAGGGCCTAACTTTCGGACTTGCTGTGAATCACTATAATCCCGGACGGATCATACAATCAGTAGAGCACTTTCTGATGCAGAGGTTCATTATGTAGGTGCAACTGCAATGCATACTCATGTTTCTACACAGATTTTACTCCATATCACTCAAATCTACAATTACTTTGTACTTTCTGAAATTAAGTAAGAACTGGAAGAGTTTAGAAGAAGAACACGATGAATATAGAAACAGGCTAGTTATTATTGATAATTTTCGATAATTTACAATGAGGAGAAGCTCTCCTTATATAGAGGAGAGAAAACATTAAAAAGCTTACATGAGACCCACGTGTTAGACACATGTCCTTATTTTACAAAACCTATCTTAAACATGATTACAAAAGGACAAACAACTTTAATAAATGAGCTTTAATAAAATAGCTTTTATAAAATAGCTTTAATAAAGTAACTTTTATAAAGTAGCTTTATTAAAGTGATGCTGATGTCTTCGTCATAGTGTTGTCTTCTTTGTCAGGGTGTGTCAAGGTTCATAGAACCTTCTGGTTGTGATGGTAAACCGTGTTGATTTAACCAAGGGGTATTAATCTCATTTTCACTTGGCCATGGATCTTGCGAATCTTGGAAAAGACTGTCATCTACCTGTTCATTTGTTTGGCTTGGTCCTTCAACTTGTGATTTTCCTTTGCTGGATTCTACTTTTCCTTTTCCTTTAGACATAGGATTTGCACGTAGTTCTTTTTCAATTCTTTCAATTTCTTTTTCAAGAAATTATTTTTCCTTTTGTACGCTACGGTCCAAACTGTCTAGAAGTTTATTTGAAATTTCTAGCTGCTTTTCTCTTAGTCGGCGTCCTTCTGGAGTTTTTTCTGAGAATCTTGATGTCTCACCAAGGCTTTGTGTAGGCCTTCCCTGAAATAATTGTCCCCATTTCCAATCAAACGCATAATCGTAGTCTGGATTATACACAGTGAGAAATCTTTGAAAATGTGTATCTTGGTAGACTTGAATATCTTGTTGGATTTTCTGAGTGTAATCCACTGGTAAAGCTTCCCATTGTGCATCATCTTCATATGCTGGCCAAATCTGAGGAGGAATTGTTTGATTAATTTCTGCCATGCGCCTTTGGAATTCTCCAAATTCCTTTGGATGATGCTCCCAATTTTGATGAATGTTGAATGGTTGAACTGCATACTCCTTGACATGAGAGAAATGAGCATACGTTCCTGCTTCAGTAAAATAACCGTCTTTGAAAAATTAAAATCACATAAACAATGTCTTTAGATGTTCTGAGATCTTTAAATTTCAAAGAAAAAGCATGAAACATTTTTATCCAGTGTGACATTGGATAAAACCATTCAAAAAACGTTTTTGCAATATGATCAATTGTTCTGTACGGAAAATCCAGATTCATTTGACAAAATGAATCAATTGTATTAGCGACATGAAAAGAAATTCCAATTTATCAAAGTTCTAAAAGATACC